CATCTGAGTAGTGATACTGAGCCAAGATATTCTGTGCCTGCTAGGCTTTAGCCGTTGAAGAGGGGACTTGGTAGTAAACCCAAGGACGTCCGTTCCTGAGTCTGTTTGAATACTCAAAGAAGAGTTCCTTGACAGCAGGTTCAATATTGAGCTAAGAGTTCTACAATAAAGCATTTGACTAGTCTTGACCTTTGATTCTACCTGTTTTGTGCTGAGGGGGTTTATCATTGTAATTCTGCACCATTTCTTTGGAGTATAGTTGGTACGAGGCACTGTTGTTGAAAGGGAACTTGAGGAAGAATCCCGTATATTCTTTTGGTCATTGCCATACTGTCGGGCTGACCATTGTTTGTTTATTTTCCTGTCAAGTCCAAAGATTGGATTGACCATCGTATTACTGATCTTGCAGAAGTATCCTTAGCTGAACATACTTTGGGTAGTATACAACTAGCCACCCACGAACGACCACGTTATCAGTCATTGGTATTTGTCTGAATCGCTGACCGTGGAGATATTTGTTTTATAGGTGTTTATCTATAGATCATCTATCTAAGAAGACAGCGAGCGGACCATGGACGGGGGGAGGAAGATAACGAAGACCGAGTTTTATTGAAAGAGGAATGGTTCCGAGCAGTAACAACGGAGGTAGAGATGGAGGGTGACGAAATCTTGTGGAAGATTCGCGCATCGAAGAGGGTTGAGAGGTTCGTAAGAGAGGCAATAAAGAAAGGCGAGAGAGGCTGGAAGGAAGAGAACGGATTGAGGTTGTGGAAGAATCATATTTATGTGCCGAATGAACAATCCCTCTGAGATCAGATCATCCACTCTCACCATGACCTACCTGTGTCTGGTCATCCAGGACGCTACAAAACAGCAGAGTTAATCTTGCGGACATATTGGTGGCCACGAGTCCATGCGGATGTAACGCGTTATGTGAGTGGCTGCGAGAAATGTCAGCGCACTAAGACCTTTCCCGCAAAGCCATTCGGACTACTCGCGCCTAATCCAGTACCAGAGCATAACTGGCAATTTGTATCAGTGGATCTCATAACTCAACTTCCCCAGAGTAAGGGAAGTGACGCCATTCTCGTTATTGTGGACCGACTGTCCAAGATGATATGTCTCACGCCGACAAATGGAGAGTTGACTTCCGAAGGTCTTGCACATTTGTACCGAGATCGAGTATGGCAGGATTTCGGTATTCCTGAACGCATCATCAGTGATCGTGGCTCTCAGTTCGTGTCTAGCTTTATGCACGACCTCAATCAGTTGCTTGGGATCCAAACCAATCTATCCACAGCATATCATCCACAAACAGATGGTCAGACCGAACGGATAAACCAAGAAATCGAGCAATATCTTCATTTATTCACCAATTACCGTCAGAACGACTGGGCAGAGTGGTTACCCCTCGCTCAATTTAACTATAATGACAAGGTGCAAACCTCCACTAGATATTCCCCCTTCTTCCTAAACTACGGCCGTCATCCTCGCAAAGGAATTGAACCCTGTTCTAACATGAGGGCGGAAAGCGCTGACGTCTTCGCCTCGCGAATGCATCATCTTGCGCAGGAAGCCACTAGCACCTTGACAAAAGCAGCGAGTGACATGAAACATTATTATGATGAACACCGTCGCAAGGCTCCTGAATACCAACCGGGAAATTTAGTTTACTTGGAGGCCACCAACCTTAAATCTGACCGCCCTTCAAAGAAGCTCGATGATCGTCGTTTTGGTCCTTTCAAAATCATTCAGAAGGTTGGAGAGCGAACCTACAAATTGGATTTACCTCGCACTTGGAAGTGAATCCATCTGGTGTTCCACACTGTTCTTCTTCGTCCCTACACACCACCAACCTCCCCATTGCAGCAATCGCCGCCACCACCACCACCAGTAGATCTCGGAGGAACCCCGGAATATGAAGTTGAGGGTATATTGGATAGTCGAGAGAGATGTGGAAAAAGGGAATATTTGGTGAAATGGAGAGGACAACCAAGAGAAGAGAATACTTGGGAACCAGAGCAGAATTTGAAGAATGAGTATGGCACCAACGAGGCATTCAAAACCTTCCTGGCGCGTGAACGAGAACGCCTCAAAATTCGTATACCACCTGGAGGAGAATGGAGATATGCGATGCCAAATCAAGGAGTGTATGATTGGAGGATAGAGACATTTAGAGAGATCGTCGATGAAGACATCGACCTTGGGAGAGGATAATGTGATGAAAAGGCGTAGCCCGAGGACTAGTGGGCTTTTAATTTGGTTATGACGCGTGCCACCGAGAGTCTCGTTCCTTGTTTTCGACCTTGTTTATTCTACCATCGCAGTCTTGTAATCAGCAATCTATCTTGTTCCCATCTACGGGATCGTCATCAGAACTATAACAACAGACTTAGGGTGTTGCTGACAATATGTCACTTGTCGTGATGTCTGGGTGGTTAGGCGTATGCTGTAAGCTGCTCTTGACACTTTAGTTGCTGTATGTTCAGACATGTTTCATTCTATTCTGTCACTCACACTTTCTCTATAGTGAAGAAGTGGCTTCGAAGGCATTCTAGGGAACTCCGACACAGCCAGTTCCCTGAGCAGGACCTTCGTGATAGTGCTGCCGAAGTCCGGTTCGGTTCGGTTCTTGGGGCAAATTTTCCGAACGCCGAACCGAACCATAGGTTCGGTTCAGCCATTTGGTCGAACCCTGGACCGAACGTCACCGAACGCGTTCGGGAGGGTCCGGTTCGTGTTCGAACCAGGTTCGACTAAGCTTGGACCATCTGTGGTTGTATAGGCTCGAGACCATGAGTTGTCATGTAATTCGAGTCGGACAGACAACGAAAAGACTCTAACGCAAGGAGAACTTCTTTGTACAAAGATTGAATTCAAGTTTCTAAAATAAACACATTTTATTTGCCCGGTGCACATAGTTCCCTGATCACATTCTCATCGATCCTCTTCTCTAAACATATCTCAAACGCAGCAGCATGTACGGTTGCAGTATTCGAGATTGCAAGCGTGTCAATCTTCGCTGCAGGATTCTCTGAAAGGCGGAAAGCCCAGAGAATAACAGCCGTATTGATGAAGATGGACCGATTCGCGACATGTTGACCAGGACACACTCTAGTATTTTCAAGTAAGGCATGAGAAAAGGTGGAAAGATGAACGATACCACTCACCGGCGGCCAAAACCAAAAGTGAAAAACTTGAGATCAGTGATCACCGCGCACACGACCTGCATCGTCGCGCGATGCGCAAAGCCTGTAGTGAAAGGTGGTCGTCCATTATCGCATCATCACAACTGAAATAAGACGTACCTCCAATAGCAGCCACTGTGACACTAATCCCATCAGCTACCCCTGACAGGTCTCCACCTGAGACCCTCGAGGATGAACACGGTAACTTGCGGCATAGCTTGAGCTCGAACGAAGACCGACAGACTCACGAACTGCGAACGGTGGGCAACGACTTGTATCAGCATGGCTGTTGCTCGAACGAGGATCGACACACTCACGACCTGCGAACGGTGGCCAACGTCTTGGATCAGCACGGCTCTTGTTCGAACGAGGAACGGTGGCCTGGTCCGCCAACGATTTGGATCAGAATGGTTCGAGCTCGAAAATCTTGACATACTCACTTCCTGCGAACAATAAGCAACGACTTTGATCAGCATGGCTCATAACATTCCCAAGTAGTACTTACCTATATTAATCATTAGCAAGAGTTCAAAGTGTTTGGAATTCATATAGCGACATAAGATACCTAGTGTTTGAACATGTTGTGACGGTGCAGTACTGTGTCACAGCGCGTCACGACTGCGGCAGGCGCGACAGAGGACCGCGTCAATTTCACCCGGCTCAAACCTGCGCGGGTTGCAGACACATGCATTTGCATATATTGACACATAGTAAATACTTACATCTTTTTAAAAAAGTGTAAAGCGTACAAAAATTGAGAGGTTCGAACCCGTTCGAACCTATTCACTACCAGCCCGAACCCCGAACCTCTGGAAAGGTTCGGTTCTGAGTCTTGGCCGAACCTTGGACCGGACCATGCGTCCGGTTCGGAAAGGTTCAGGTTCGAACCGAGGTTCGGAACCGGACTGCGGCAGCACTACTTCGTGAAGCTTGCTTCAGGGCTGTGAATGCCGAAAATGCACGAGGCTGGTATAGGCATAGTGGCTATCTGTAGTATGATGGATGTATCAACTGTGGTATGGGAAATATTACTAGTATGTGTAGAGTGGAATAGCTAGTAGCTGTATTTGATGTATGGAGATGAATATAATCTACAAACATGAACAGTAAACGTGCAAAGAAATGGCATGGTCATCGCTTTGTGGTTCCTGAGAAGACCTAAAGGAAAGGGCTCGCCACTTGCTGGTGGCATCCATCCAGAATGTGTAGAATATGCTAAGACTTACTACCTCCCATCGCTCTATACGCTCTATACGCTCTATACTTTCAAGAACAGCAGCATGTGCTCAATTTCCAATCCTTCCTCCAGATGCAGGTACAAAGTTCATTTTTTTCAGTCAGGACTGATCCTCTGGCAGACCATAGGGAGTCTGAGTAGGAAATAGGTGCGAGATGGCGTGTTTGAAGCCGTTCAGAGGCCTACAAAACTCGAAACTGATTTAAATGAATTTTCACTATTTTTGAACTGCCACAAACACGTGAGTCAAGACTTTCGAAAAGGACTGTAATTCCACTACTAAATGCAGGCTCCAACTCGAACTTTAATAACACCAGACCTAACTTGAGGAGACCGCTGTATAATTCGATTTTGGAGCAGGCCGAGCGCAGTGCACGGGGAATAACCTGCCGCTATGAACCGATGGGCATCAGTGCACTTGTGTGGCTGAATGGTTGGCGCTTGAAGTCAACGTGCTGGCTATGCTTCGGAGTTCTGGCATCTGTCCAAGGATGAGACGCCCATTTCCTTCTCACACTCAATACCCAACCGTTTCTCTCACACCGATCCAAGGACCAAAACTACAGCCACTCGCGATGAGTGAAGACCTTAGACCAGACATCGATCCTCCTCCAGGAACCTCCAGATCCAACCAGGCAAATGTTATTGAAAGCTTGGTACGTGGTAGTCTCTCGAAATCCATCGCTGCCCTTATGCGTTATTCGCCCAGAACCAATCTTGTGGAGGATAGTGTCAGTCCCTGCGGAAATTGAAGAATGGGTTAAAATTCCTGTGCGTGGACGTCAATATTGTTTGTCCTAGATATGGCTGAGACTGTATAGAAACGCTCTAAGCGAACACGCAACCGCACCACTGCAGTCCAGAACATCGAAACTGAAGGGGCTTCATCTAGTCAGAAAGTTGAGGTAAGTGCTCAAACTTGCTATCCTAGTCCTTCGGTATTCTTAGAGGCCCCCAGGACATGCTGCATCTTCATCCTTCCAACGACAATAAGCATCCTACCACATCTGAGATTCCCAGTGACTCCATGAACCAAGGGTTGTCTGATGAACCTGCTTCACAGGTATGTTCGTCAAATACATTCATTTTCTTCTCTAATGTTTGTGGTCCCACAGGTTCAGGCCGCTCCTTCTGACAAGGACAAAGGACCTGATCCCCAATTAGTTGATGCTGAACTTCAGGGTGCCTATGATGGTACACAAAACATATTACTCGGAAAACGTGATTCTATGGCATCCGCCGCCGACAATGCCCCAGCGGGTTTTGCCACTGCGGATGATTTTGAGACGACGTATCTTCAGCCGCTAAAGATTATTGACGGTGTCCTTGAGAAGATTGCGGATGTATGGGCTATTATTGTTGGTTGGAAGCGAACTAATTAAATTGTATAGATACATCCGTATGCAAAGATGGCGCTGGGTGTGCTGTCCGCTGCATCTAAAGTATGTTTGGTTTCTCCCAGAGTTCAGTCTCCTGCTAGAAGTCATAATGTCTTATAGATTATAGTCGCTCAAGCAGAGCGCAACAAATCGATCTATAGTCTTCTCAAGCAACTAGCTGAAATTTACCGCTTCATGACTCAAGATGACAATCTTAGTAAGATTGAGTCGATGCGCAGTATCGTTGGAAATATCGTTCAGCAGACTCTTTGAGTGCGCACATTTCATCAGGGACTACTCGGAGACAGAACTTTTGTGAGTCACCAAGCTATCGCACTTTGCACCCGAATCTTATACTATTGTCGTAGACTCGGGAAAAACGTTTTTTCGGAAACTGATGACATCATCAAACGGTACAGCGACACTTTGGACGACCTTGTACGACAATTCCGGGACCAAGTTGATCGGGACATGGCCGTCTTCGTCCAACATACGGGTAAGGATTCTGACATACTTCTGTCTTTACATTCACTTACACTCTTTCAGGCGATACCCTGGATCTCGGGTATCGCTTATGCAAAGGGCGCAGGACTAAATACCATGAAACAATGCCTACCAGGGACGCGCAAAGAGGTTCCTTCCCAGATTACGGACTGGATCAACGGCAGTGGAGATGCTGCTCAACGTGTGCTGTGGCTATCTGGCCCTGCAGGCACAGGTAAACCAGTCATCGCTCAAACGATTGCCAAGGCGTTCAATGACATGGGAGTGCTCGGTTCATGTTTGCGCTTCGACAAGGCCGAGAAACGCCATGAAATTTTTTTCTCTAGCATCGTTCGTGATCTAGCTGACCGTGATCCGGAGATGAGACGAGCATTGGCGAGTGCGGTCAAAAATTCCACTTCACTCAAGAACTCAAAGGATATTTTCCAGCAGTGAGAGAAGCTTCTCATGGATCCACTGAAAAAGTTGCCTACGTCAAGTGTGGGACCTGTCTTGATCGTGATCGAAGCGCTGGACGAGAGTGGCGGAGTGGAGACGCGGCGGGACCTTCTCCGCATACTTGCGGGTAAACTTCAGAACAAGGATCTTTCCCAAATCACAAGACTCCCATCTACCTTTCGTATCCTCGTTACCTCTCACCCACTTCATGATATCGAAGATGCATTTCACGGCACTCGGCATATCCTATGGTCATCCATGGACAAGATTCCAGCCAGTGGCGGAGCACAACATCCACACGTTCGTATCTGAGGAGCTGAAGGGGTTGTCGGATTTTCACTACAAAGAGTTCGCAAGTCTTGCTGCGAAAGCTGATGGACTCTTCGAGTGGGCGCGTCTCGCCTGCGAATACATCAAAGATACCCCTCCAGGTGTACATCAAATGCCCCGTTTCAATGCTCTCGTGAACCGCCGTGCAGGAAAGCAGAAAAACCTGTTGTATGATATGTATTTGGTTATTTTGGAAGAAATTATGAAAAGAGATCAATATGATGACGACGAGTACGAAGAAGCACTAGCAGCGAATCACTGCCAAAAAAAAATTATTGCAATTTATGGTTTTTTGACCTACTTGTACGCTAAAAATGTAAAAGTTTCCTTATCGCACCAAGATTGAGTCCACAACAGAGACGGTGTCTGCACGGTCAAACGAAGCGCCACCCGGTGCCGCGCCGATCGTGCCGATGATGAAATTTAAATCTGTACGCTGTAGCACAGCGAGTTCTCCCGGTTATCATGATAATTTGATGCTTAACGCAAAATATGTTTATCCCGGCTGACGAGGTTCATCAACGCTGGACAGCAGCCGGTGCTTCTAACTGAATTCGATTGGGTATCTTGTTGCTGTAATCGTTGATGGTTTCTGGTGCCTATCAATGATTTGGATGTCAGAGTCGCGCGTGCATGCAAGGAGTGTGTATTATAACCAACGAATCATCAGAACACCATGACGATAACGATAATAGCGATCATAATAGTGTGTGCTATGCCATGGGGAATAGAAAGAATATTGTCACCAAGTACAGATATTCTTTCTATTCTCCATGGCAGAGTGAAATTTCGTCACATTTCGATGACTACGAAATGTAGCGAGTTTTCACTATTGTCATCCTCTTCTTGTAGGAATCACGTCTCGTATACCTAATCACTACAACATTAATGATGAGATGCGTCGATCATAAGAGTTGGGGTACGCACGACTTGTAACAAACAGAGTTCTCTTTGTTCCAAATCGTGCGTATCTTTAAATCTATTTAGTTTGGGGCCTAGGTGTTTTCCTGATCACGGTAGTTGTCAGGTCCGATTATTTTGCCACCCATGGAACCCAAGGTTTGAGAGTGCAACCTCATGTATATCTTCAAGATATACAACGACCCGATGTTTTAGTTTTCTTGGCCTTACGGCGTTCGCGGACTTTCGCGACGCGACCTGGTGCTTGGGGAAGAGACGAGGAAGCAGAGCCCATTGAGAGCTCAGGCCCGTGATGCTATTGAAGATTCCTTGGTGCGGGATGGGTACCACCCATCCCGCACCAAGGAATCCGCAGTAAGGGTTCGCACCTCCCGGAATAGATGGGAAGGGTTGATGATAGAGGCTGCGCGCAGATGGGTCTTGTGGGGGATCAGCGCTCAGCAGCATTTAAGTAGCGGTGAACATGAGTGGCGTGCGAGAAATCGCCCAGTAACCATTTTGTCCCACACGGCACGCAGCACCCGCACCATAATCAACAAATCACCAGATCACCATGACAATAACAATACAATACGATAGCGATAATAGCAATCATAATAGTGTGTGCTAAGCCTATGCCATAGAGAATAGAAAGAATATCTGTACTTAGTGATATGACAGCAAACAATAAAACAATGAAAATAGTCAGTAGTAGAAGTGAAATTTAGTTGCATTCCGTAGTCATCCATTAGCCTCCCAAAAATCATCCTCATCCTCCTCCTTCTCCTCCTCCTCCTCCCTTGGAATGCGTGGCGCGCAACTCCAGCACCCGCACCAAACGAAGGATGGGGGCGCGGGACCACGCGTCCAATGAGGCGGCACACCGTACAGATGGTAGGTGGCGTAGCCTGGATGGGGAATGCATGCGGACTCGGGCCCGGGTAATTGACCCATATGCATGTCAGTATTTGGTATGTGAACATATCACATAGGAAACACTGACATACATATGCATCAGAAGAATCTGAACCGTGCGGTGAGGAGGCATGGGGGGAGGATTGGGTCATCTGGAGGTGAAAAGTAGATATAGTTAGAAAGCACAGGTGTTGAAGCTGGAGAGAACCGTACCTGGGCTACCATATAGTGATTTGGAATATTAAGGCTGTTTGTACCCGTTCGCAGTGATAGTAAGTTCAGTAGATGATGAATAGAGGATGAAGGCCACCGTGGCCTTTGTCTTTGGAGCGCCATTGTTCACTAAATGGACGGTGGTCGTGTTGTTCGATGCGTCAGTTTCAAAAACTGACGCATCGAACAACACGACCACCGTTTGCTTCTACACTCAGCCTTGTTTCAAGTGTGCGATGATAAGGAAAGAAGTGGGCTGTGGATGAACCGTGGAATGTTTGTATTCAACAATCTGATTGTGGCATCACAACTTATGTTTCTGGCTCCGCGAATAGTTGAATAATCGTAAGTCCGTGGCCGATTCGCATGGGTGACAAGACTAATCAGGTCTCCCTCTGACCAGTCACCAAGCTAGAGAACCGACCAAAATTTTATTTTCCTATCTTCAAATCTACACAGTCGGGTTGAAGGAAATCGCCGCCTTGCAATATTAGTCGATTGAGGTAAAGGTGTGTCTTTGCCACCCAACTGAGAGCCTAGAACCGATCGCTTTTTAGTGTTTGTACGAAGAGCAAGACAACATAATTTGCAAGGAATAACCTCCTGGCCCCGAACGACGGGTGATACGTGAGCGGTAAAGGAGTAAAATTCACTTACCCATGACATCGACTCAAGGGAGTACCAAAAAACGCCTTCACCGTTGGACAGACATCTCTTACATTGCTTTGAACCGCTACAGCTCGTAAACACAGCACAGAAGCGACATCCGCATGTCGTGATGCCCAGAATCTGGATCGGATGGAGCGACAGCATGTGCACGAAATAACTGGCAATCAAGATGAAACGGCATTATTGCTGGGCAGAAAGTCGTACCTGAGGACACGGGGTATCTTTGACAACTGCAATGTACGACCAGCGCATTGGTATAGACTTTCGAAGTGCGACCAAACGTCGACCAGGTGATATTTCCGGTCGCGATCATTCATGGTTCAGAGGCTTCAATACTGATGTTTCGACCACGGCGAAGATCGGTTGTCATTTGGTTGTCATATAACCTTCCTATCCTCCTCCTGCCAGTGCGCCTTACAGCTTGCGGTGCGTGTCAAAGATCCTCTGCGTCATTTTTGATGGGCCTACTCTCTGAGGCCGCACTCGCATCAACTTTGCAATGGTTTCGGATATACCGCCAGAGGTGCATACACGCATTTGAATGAATTTTAGACGGTCGTCAACTTGGTGCAACAAAATTTGCTGTTCGCATGAAGAGAAGGAATACTGTTGGTTGACCTCTGAGTCGGTCCTCGGATTCTAAGCGTCACATCCGAATCCCGATAGCTGGGTTAATTCTAATAGGCATCGATCGGCGAGCGGCAGCCAGTATTGGGCAAAGACACTGTACACAGCGATGGCGCTACCTCTCAACAAGACTCGATTACTGTACTTGGAAGCACAACCGCACACCAGCGCCGAATATTTGAATCCCGGCGATCACATCGGGACAGTCGTTCAGGTCACCATCAAAAGCAGAAACCCAAGGTAACAAGACAACCAGTGCTGGGGATAACTTCAGTCTCATCTCCAGATGTTTAACCACATCCTGTTTCTAGTCCTTCGAAGGTGGAACTGGCCATATTCGCTATAGAGCAGCATGATATCACGGTAAGCGCGCGTCAACCGTGACGCATCCTGTCAAGCTCAGCCAGATCTACATATTCAATTGATGTTTTTGCAGACGGCTATAGAGACGCTACTACTTGGACATGTCAATGGTTCCGACTCGGAGAAGCTTCCAAAGCGCGTGGTCATTCGAGAGGACAGGCTGCTGGGGTACGTTCTTGTTGGCGGTAAGGAGCTGCATTGTCTGTTTTGTTGATTTATCTCGTTACAAAAACTTTCAAGTTCACTATTGAGCTAATTTTGTTCGTCGATGACTTCTAGAGCGACGGAAATGGACGTACGGACAACGCAAACAATTCTACTGGGGCAGATATCCGTTAAGGAGTAGCGAAGATAAATGGATATTCTACTTCGAGACCACGAAATTGCCGGTTAGCTATACAGGGCGTCGAGTATGAAAAAGGTACTGTCAGCTTTGTATTCCACCATGTTGTTCATACAAACTGTATCCATACATTCCCCATATTTACGCAGCCAATTCCTGAAAAAAATGCCTATAAGAACATCAGTGAATTCATGAGTCCGTGATATTATAGCCGTGGGAACTATAATTGTTGACTCTCACGTTTGCATACTACAGGCTACAGCACACTACTTGGCCTACGAGAACGCGACTCAACGCGAAGCTGGTTGAATCTAGCGAGTTTGAAAATGAAGTCAAACGTGAGCCCTACGCACACCGTAGATGCGTCCAAATGGCAAATACTAATATCATCGTTGTCTCACTCATTTCTTCTTTCGAAGGAAAATCGAGTCTTACCCGGATAACACGCTCAGTGACTTGGCGGAAACAACTGGCCATTCTGGTTTTGCTGTCTTTGTTCGGACGTATGACGCTTGTGGATTTAGCAACACCAAAAACCTCTTTGGACGGGTGCACAATCACAGTGTTTGTAGAACAGTCACTTTGTATCATGATGGGACCCATCTTCCAACAGTCAGCCGACAGCTCATTTTTGTTGCTGAAATTGTTCACGAAAAAAACTCACCCTGGAAATCGGAGAACGGTTGGAGAGATAATATTGCGAGGCCATAATTTGTAAAATGCTGGTAAATGCTCTGGCGATGTATTCCAGTTGCACGAAAGACACGACACCAACGACATTATTTGACATACTAATATAGCCCAGAGGCAGATCAGGCATAACTGCTCCTCCTCACCACTACTCTTTCACCAGGCCAGAGTCGACCCGTGCTACTCGAATCTCGGACATGTGCAGCGATCTGCAGCAAGGTAATATTTGTGTTGAGAATGTGACGCGAATTTACAGGTATGCTCGTGATACTAGAGGAAATACCGATCGGACAAGTCGCGGCAAATCGAATCGTAACAGGCTATCGTCCACCGGGCCCGTCTATCGGCAGCGCTTCAAGTGGCTTAAACTATTCAATCGTCTTATATTGGAGACGAGCAGCTGAAACTCAAGTACCTCTTATCGCGGAGGTAAAGCGGTACGAACGCGTTATCCTATATTCTTATTCGACACAATTGCCCTCGCTGACTTTTCTAGTACCCAAAGTTGACGCCTAGAACATCCCCACTGCGAGATACTTCTATTCTTGACTACAATGGTGCATTCGGACGAACTCGGATCAAAGCAACTGCAAAAGGTTAAGAGTTGTTCGTGGGGAGTCCCTCTTCAAAATACCACGGTACACGTATCGTCCACATCCCCCAACCCCCTTTGGGTAACCATTGAGATCACGGAACACTCGACTACTAGTCGATCATAACAAGTGAATTATACGGTCTCGACTAGTCATGGGTTATTCATAATCGTCTAGTGACATATACTTCAGGCTGTTTTTTTTTGGCAATTCTTTCCACAGAAAATACTAGCACTGCCTCTCACCTGACAGGCCCCAAAACAGTTTACAGCGTGGTATAACACGCGGTCGGTCTGCTTTGAAGGACTCAAAACAATTTCCATTACTTTGCCCTTGTTACAGGAGTATTCATCGATTAAGGACCGGAGGAGTCCACTTGACAATACCTAGCAAAAAAGTAAAACAACCATGATGATGTCCCACTTAGTTGCTTAGTTTGTTCGGATCCAATGGTTTTGCCAAACAAACGCCTTGAATTACTGCACTAGGCGCGAAATTACAATCTTCTTCAAGATCAAAACTACATCTTCACAATGCCCGTCATACAGTACCAGTACTACTAGTAATTAGTGAGCCCCGTTGAAAAGAACATGTATCGTGCACAAATCTGTTTCATTCCCTTCGTTCGTATTCATACATCCGAGTCGTCATAACACGGTGCTGCTATTTCATTCTTACTTACTAACAGAGGCCCTCACCATGCTCTTCTCGTACCATTCCCTCTCAAACTCAATCGCCTTCTTGATCGTCTCTGAGGTGCGCCACCCATGCTGTTCACCATCGAAGAAGTGCGCCTCAACATGCCCCTTGTTTTTAATGACCCCATCAATTATAGTCCACGATTGTGCGGGCGGAACAACTTCATCATCATTGCCTTGAAGGACCTGTTGGAAACATGATCTACCCATCAGAACGCACTTTCATCAGCACAAAAACTTACGAGTAACGGTGTCTCAATTCTCGCGGAAAAATACACTGGACTACGGTCATGATAGACATGTGGTATCTCTTCCTTCGTACCACCGAGAAGCTTTGTCATGTACATAAGTTCGAACTTGTGGGTATCGTCTGCAAGTAGCTCCAGGTTTGAGATCCCGAAGTTGCTCGTGGCACTCGCGAAAAACTTGGTTTTACTTGCTGCAGAGGAGGCGAGGGAAATGGAGGCAAGGACAGTATATCCACCTGAGCTCCCGCCACGGATCGCAGTGCGCTTGGTATCGATGAGGGAACGGAGTTCGGGCGATTGGACTGCTTCGATGCAGTCGCTTACGTCGATGATACCCCAGTTCCCTTTAAGGCGCTCCCTAGTCACATCGTCAGTGCTGCTCCATGTAAATGATGATGAGAAACATTTACATACACATATGTTCGTCCGTAGCACGAAGAACCACTGTAGTTTATATCCAACCTGCAATTGATGAGCACGATGATCCTACAGAGTGCGCCGAGACCTACCAAGCATATCCTCTGCTTGTGAAATACTGCTTCAACCAGTTCAAATTCTGTGTTTCTAATCCTGTGGGTCCGCCGTGTACGCCAAGCACACAGGGAGGCTTTTCGTTTGGAATGCTTGAACCCGCATACGCCGGGTTGTTTGGAGCATAATACACAGCATACACAATATTGTCGCCCGCCAGCTTAAGTTCAAGAGGGATTGGAAGCGAAATGATACCCTCAGGAAACGGTGCAGCGGATGTCGATGCGGTAGATCTGAGTACCTGAAAATCAGGCATGAACGATGGTCCGATAAGAGTACAGAGCATGGCTGCGCCAGGGGCGTTGCTTCGCAATCCCGTGAAGACAAAAGTATAGTCCGACACGCGCCGGACATGTTCGACAACTACAAAGTCGAAAGATTCGTCTTTAATCTCCTTGTAGGACCCTGTGGTGATATCAACAACATAGAGGACGCTTCGGCCACCTCGCCACGCAACACAAATGGCTTTTGTGCCACTATCGTCCAGGAACGCGAATGGGTAATTTCCAAGCGTCCAAGGTGGCATGCAGAAGTCTTGCTGCACAACAGACGAGAGGACCGGTTTTGTGCACGCCTGAGTGCACTCCCACAGGTTTGCGAACCTGTTTCCCTCCTCGCCTTCGTCAGATGTAAAGAGAAGCTTGTCGTTGGAAGCCCACAAGGGATAACACGCGCTGATTGTACTAGCGCTACCAGCTACCATTTTCGTGTTGCTTAGGCTAAGTGTATGGGTATTGGGGTTGTAGTGGACGTCAGCCACGTAGAGCCGTCCTCCTTCCCAAGGCATATCTGGGTGCTCCCAGAATTGCCATGCGAGCCTATCGCCAGAGGGGGAGAAGGTCGGCGCTGCATAAAATTCTCTTTGTGCATTCTCAGTGCAAACCAAGGACGTGACAGTCGTAGCTGCGGAGTTGATAACGCAAAGAGAGCTGCGTACAGTTTGGGGTGTGTCGTGGGTATGGTCTTCTAAGACTGCGACGAGTAGGTCAGTGTGGACTGGGTGTACAGAGAAATCTGCGTAGCGATAGATCTTCTTCGGATCCTCTGTGCACGGAACGTTAGTACGGCGTTGTAGTCCGGGATATCAACACAGGCACCTGGTGTGATTGGTTTAATCTTCCCATCTTTCGCGGCATAGACAAGGAAGTCCGCAAAATTTGAAGAGTAGACAGTCCCGTTATATGCAATCGCAGCAGCTCCACCATACTCGTGAACGCGCGTGCGTACATTGAAGTCTTTGGCGAAGACTTCATTTTGAGTCTGGTTGCTCAGAAGCACGTATCGACCACCTTCTGATGCACGCTGTTCGATGTAGTAGATATCTTTCGTGACTGGGTCTACGAATATGTCGCTCATAGAGACGCTCTACAGTGCAGATCAGTTTCAGATACTATCAAGCGATCTGAAACGATTTTTTAAACATACATCTTCAGCGATAGCATCAGCTGTGATGGGGGACTCCCAAAGGCCGTATGGAGCATATTCTCGAGACATCGCAATAATCGTTGAGAGAGTTAGCAGCTTGGACACAGGTTGTGTGGGAGGAAGAGAGATGGAATCCACGGTACCTGTTACATCAATTGATGACTAGGCACAACATTGATGTACATGCACTTTGCAGCATTTGAGAGCAGAAGAATCATCGCCAGACTTCCGGCCACTTCGAAAAGTACGCAGAAGTACATTTTGTGCCAGGGTTCAACGTTCAAGCCGTGATGTTTGGTTCTAAGGGTTTTGACAAACAACCACTTCTCGATCGTCTACAAACGGATTCTTTGCGGATTTTTCATTTTTGGATTTCTGATGTCATTCCGCCCGACGCTTCCTTTGCACAAAAAGTCGAGCACAGCATGGCTAGCACGACAATCCCGTGACCCTTTTGTCAAAGCGCGCCTCTCCTCACCATCATCCTATCGTTCACGCGCTGCCTACAAGCTCATCGAGCTTAATAACAAGTGGGGATGCTTCCTCTCACGTCCTAGCCTGCGCAGTGTCGTGGACCTTGGTGCAGCTCCAGGCGGCTGGAGCCAGGTTGTCGCGGAAAACTTTGGGTGGACCCATGAAGCGGCAGACAATGAGGAAGACTTTGGGTTACGCGAAGAAACGAAGGTGCAGAAACGCGGTTCTTGGAGCACCGAACCTATGAACAAGACTACCAGGCGAGGAAAAATTGTTGCACTAGATCTGCTACCGATTATGCCAATACCAGGCGTGCAGACGCTGCAGATGGACTTTCTAGCTCCGAGTTCGGCGCGTATAGTACGGGATGCGCTGAAGAGTCCACGAAATCCTGAGGGTACAGCGGATATCGTGCTGAGTGACATGGCTGCGAATTTTTCGGGAAGTAAAATTCGAGACTCACAAATGAGTTTGGATATCTGTCATGCGGTCTTCGATTTTGCAAAAGGTGCATTAACTGTTAGGACAGTAGATGAACGAGGGAAGGCGTCCTGCGGCGGGATACTGCTGTATGTCCTTCATTGTCCGGAAGACGAGTTGCTCATATCTAACATATATATTCTAGGTTGAAACATTTTGCTCATCCATTACTGCAAGAGTTCAGAAAGGAACATCTAGAACCTAACTTCCACCTCGTACATTATATCAAACCGGAGTCAAGCCGAGCTGACTCTGCAGAAGGTTACTGGCTGTGTCGCGGCTGGCTGGGTAGGACTTAATCGGTATCCTTGGGCAGGCAAACCCGCTTTCGACTAACATTATTACGCTCTATCAGTCCTTTATCACAAGTCAGGTACATGGGCACGTATTTGCATAACAAGCAGACTGTACAAGTACCGCAACTCTGTTCAGCCTATGGGGCCGAATATTTAACATTGACATCTCTTGCAAATCTGACTCGATTCACTACTTCCAAACTCCTTTACCTCTTTTTTACTCCTACATAAAGTCCCTTGTGTTCCCATTGCAAAGACAAGCTCCATAATCGAACTGACACTTTTACTTGACCCATATCTAAATTATGCAGGCGATTCGCAGTCAACAGTACACTCCACCAGTTAGTTTGCATACTTCTGGTCACTGTCAAATACATGGCATGAGTGCTTCTACGACAGGAATAGTGTACATCATATTGTAGACCTAGCGAGTAACATTGAGCTGCAGTAACATATCACGCAAATCCTACACCAGAAACGAGCGCTATCGTTGATCACCACCAACTGGTAACTCCCGCTCAACAAATCGAAACCGCACAAGAATAAATATAAAAGGCTTATGCCCCAAAGCCGTAGAGCGTGCGACCGGAGCGCTTAAGAGCATACACAACATCAAGCGCCGTCACGGTTTTCCTGACAAATAGCCAACCGTCAGCGTGAGAACTAACACTGGCCACAGCAGTTAGATCCTTACCTTTTGGCGTGCTCAGTGTATGTAACCGAGTCACGAATAACCTACAGGGGGTCAGCTGACGGCTCCGCAATCAGTAGTCGGGGTGACTCACGTTCTCAAGGAAGATTTTCAAAACACCACGAGTCTCTTCATAGATGAGGCCCGAGATACGCTTCACACCTCCACGGCGGGCAAGGCGACGAATAGCCTGCGGAATATCAGACACGTGTTGGCTGTGCATCAGAGAAAGGACATACGGGCTTGGTAATACCCTGAATGTTATCACGCAGAATCTTGCGGTGACGCTTGGCACCGCCCCTACACAAGCTCAGTTAGATATCACTCACTAAGAAATATCGTTGATACTTACTTTCCGAGACCCTTTCCACCTTTGCCGCGTCCAGACATTATAGTTTATGGTATGTGTGCGTGGTGTGTTAGATGAATAGAAGATGATCGCACTTGGTGGTGGTAGTGGTAAGAGGGTGAATAACGCGACTTCTTTGTTGATTGGCGTGTTTATATGTAGGTACAGGTCACGTGACCTCATCATGCTGTATTCACATCGGGGTGAACGATATTTAAAAGAGGTTTATATGTTGTACAAAATGTGAAAACAATATTTGATATTTAAACTAACATAAAGATGGGTGCACGACTTCAAATTTTGGTGGTGTTTTGTGTGTCATCCAAAATATCAAATATTCACAACCATATTCCCACAGACAATATGTCAACAAATATAATAAATATAATCAGATTTTCCATGTCTGCTTCAATTTAAAGTTTGATTCTTACATAAAACTTTGGAGAAAACTTGAAGTTTTGCCAAAGCTTGACATTTAAATCGAGTTTTAATGTTATGTCATCTGTAAAACTTCAAGTTTTCTCCAAAGTTTTACATGGAAATTGAACTTTAAGTTGAAGCAGACATGAAAAATCTGACTATATTTCTTATGTTTGTTGACATATTGTCTGTGGGAATATGGTTGTGAATATTTGATATTTTGGATTACACACAAAACACCACCAAAATTTGAAGTCGTGCACCCATCTTTATGTTAGTTTAAATATTAAATACTGTCTTCACATTTTGTACAACATATAAACCTCTTTTAAATATTGTTCACCCCGATGTGATTGTCTTTATCCTAGTTCTCTTGGGCCTGTGGCCTAAGCACGGACCACCTTGAAAACTCGAAGTGCACACCCCTACAATGTCCGGTACTCATTAGGCCCGATCACGGACCATTTTGAGCACAAAGACTCGAAGTGATGGATTCAAACGAAGCCTCTACGATAATTACAGAAATCTCAATGAGTTGACTGCCTAGGCTTTTATACACAATCCTCGCGTCTGCCATGGCCACTTCCTTTCATTTGAGTTGGTCACCTTGCTGATTGGATATGGTGGATACGTGAATGTGACTACATCACTGATAGGTCGTTCGACAGACTCGGGGGTGTAACAGGCCACCGTGACAGTCGCAGTATTTTTCGGAAGACGTAGTGGGGTGCAGAAAACCGAAGAAACAGCACGTGTCACCTGCCGAACCAGCGGCTGGTTTGAAACCCGTAGGATCCGTCTCCGGCTTGAGTCTTGAACCAGAACTTCTTCCTGTGTTTCACTCATTCGATACTCCGAGTTGATTTTTCGGATCTTCTTGTCGTGACAGTGGACTGGCTCATCGCTGGCGGTGTACAGCTTGATGTGGGACACGAACCGACTGATATGACGCGTGCGAGTGCTTGTCGCGGAATCGAGGTGCACGTTTGAGTCTTCACGAGTCAGAGGGGCTATACATGACGCCAATGATACAGCAGACTACGTCTTATCAGATGATTTGGTCGCCAGAGGTATGGAGAAATATATTACCAGTTGCAACTCCAGGGACTGTGACGGATGCTGTCAGATCTGAGGGCCCAGAAGAACAGGATATGGTGCTTACTGAGGAGATGTTCCGACAAATTCCATCATCGAGAGGATTTTCTCTGTTTCCTTCGTTGACTGATATATCGGCCTCCAACCTCTCTGAGTCAGTCTGAGTATGTAAGCTCCTGTTTGTATTCTTCATTTGACAGTTGTGTTTCTTGAAGTACCTGTACGCGTTGAGGGCGAGCTGGATAAAGACGATCGCAATGAATATCGTTGCATTCAGAGGCGTTTTGAAAATGGCGAGCGAGCCTTTGAACCAGCGCCGCACGGAGCGCTCCAAGGATGTTGAGAGGGTGACCGTGTACACAAAGAGGCGTCCCGCGCGATTGGGTTGAGATGCAGAAATGACTGTAAGCATAATGCTAAATTGTGAAAGATTATTTTGTACCGATATATGTGGGTAGGATGTATAGTGGGCAATCCTACCAGGGAGTAGGAGAAAGGTCGAAGTTAAGCGTGAGTTAATTTGCGACTTGAACGCGCCGTGATCACGTGCCCGTTAACTTTGGTCCCTCTCGATCCAGGGCGAGCTTCAACTTGAAGCTTTGATGCTTCAAGTCTTGTCATTTACTATCAGCTTTCATCATGACATGATTTACCACGATCTGCAAAAAAAAATGCGACGATGTTCTATGTTCTCGATTTATCTACACTATTAATTCAAAATATAGATTTTGAAGTGGCTGAGGCTTAGTATGCATCACACCTTCACTTCCGGGTCAATACTACATCAGGAAACCGACGCGAAAATGATAAAATTTGAGAAAGCTTTATCTGAAGTACAATTTGTATAATATGCATCATAATTGTATTTCGTTTGAGAAAGCTTTGTATACCTGGACTAAGTTGGATACAACCCGCCAAATACACATTTGTGACGGTTTTATTACATTTATCTACCAGCTGATCATCAAGATGGCCTATATTGTAACACCCACCAGCATGACAAAGGAATATTATGTTGTTAAAATACCGCACAATCACCTAGTTGAGTATTACTTGTCGTACACTACAATTTTGCCCTGCCCTGGTCATGGCATGTAACTTTCGGCATTTTATTTTTTCTTCACAATCTCTAGATGAACGCGAACGTCAGATAAAGCTATATATGGCTGGACTACGTGGGATCAACGCTGCCAAGTGTCCAAGGATGTGGAACCATGATAGTGCGTTACCATGTTGTCTCAATACGGCTGTCGCATGCAAGCCATCGTAATCTCGACAAAGCCTTCCTCATCGTTGCTGTGGAATATATAGTTATAACGCTAGATTGGATGGGATAACTTCGCTGAGTACACAATGTGAGTAACCAATGACAGTGTGCTGTCATCCTTCCCAATCTTGACGACATATGTTCATCGTATATAATGTTGGCTTACTATTTTGTCCTGCACAGAGACTCCATAATTGCCAGCGCCGAATAATGTCTTACAAGAGTAGGCTGTCTCGGCTCGAGCGGCCTTCGACTCAAGGGTGCGGAGCGATGGTATTGCGGTACCGTACTGCAGCAACCGCCGAGGTCTGGTCATCAGTTGCAAGGTGAGCGAGTTTGTGCTGTCTCCGCAAACTCTCCATGGATGTCGACGCCAGGTGATATCTCACAAGGGCAGGCTGTCTCGGTTCGAGCGGCCTTCGACTCGAGCGTGCAGAGCGATGGTATTGCATTACCATACTGCAGCAACCGCCGAGGTCTGGCCATCCGTTGCAAGGTGAGGGAGTTTGTGCTGTCTCCGAAAAGTCTCCATAGATGCCGGTGCCAGGTGATCTCTTACAAGGGCAGGCTGTCTCGGTTCGAGCGGCCTTCGACTCGAGCGTGCGGAGCGATGGTATTGCATTACCATACTGCAGCAACCGCCGAGGTCTGGCCATCCGTTGCAAGGTGAGCGAGTTTGTGCTGTCTCCGCAAACTCCCCATAGATGCCGACGCCAGGTGATATCTTACAAGGGCAGGCTGTCTCGGTTCGAGCGGCCTTCGACTCGAGCGTGCGGAGCGATGGTATTGCAGTACCATACTGCAGCAACCGCCGAGGTCTGGCCATCCGTTGCAAGGTGAGCGAGTTTGTGCTGTCTCCGCAAACTCTCCATAGATGCCGACGCCAGGTGATATCTTACAAGGGCAGGCTGTCTCGGTTCGAGCGGCCTTCGACTCGAGCGTGCGGAGCGATGGTATTGCAGTACCATACTGCAGCAACCGCCGAGGTCTGGCCATCCGTTGCAATTTAAGTGAGCTTGTGCTTTCCCCACAGACTCTGTTATTTTTGTTCTCTTCAGCATGTTAACTTGGTTGCGAGGGCCAAAACATATTGGTATTAGGTTGTGTTTGTATTTAGTACATAATAAAGTGCTTAAACAAAGACTATGTGGAGGCTACAGTTACATTTGAATCAGAGGTGTTTTTGGCCGCAAGGCGTTTGATTCGGATTTTGGATAAGGCACTATTGGCGCTAATAGGCCGTTTAGCTGCAGAGGATGTAGGGAAAACCTGGCTGGGTACATAGTAATGAGCTCAGCGAAATGTCGAAGAGTTAAAATAATACCGATTCCACCATGTCAGTAGCTCGTCGACTTCCTTGGATTCGTCCGGGTCTTCGAAAAGGTCAAGGAGGCTGTGGTAAAATGTCTCAGAGTCTGTGGATGTGTCGGTTCGTGAGAATACCGAGGATGAGCTTAGGGCAAATCGGACCTGGAGTTGTATGTACGTCAAGATTATCGAGCTATAAAGATATGCTATTACGAACCTGAGTAGCAATGTAAGCTATGGAGGCAACGGTGACGCGGTTCATG